TACCCCTCGGCTCTGAACGTTCTTTATGGCACTGTTACAAGGGGTGAGAGGGAAAGATATAAAGGCTCGAAATATATAGTCTACCACGAAGTTTCTTGGAGTACATGTACTGTTTCAACAGATGAATCTGCGTCGTCCGTTTTCTGCAGGCCATCCATAGAGAAGGATTTCAATTTCGTTTCTCTGCCGACTTTTCATGGCTACACCAGAAAGAAAATCATGGCTAAAGGCGGAAGGAAAGGGGGAAAGAGACAAGGGAGTCGCGCGGAGACGCGCTGTCGTGGATAAACGATCGAGATAATGGACTTTATGGTCCTTACGGATCTTGCGGCCGTTGCATAAATTCCACCGCCCGTATAATGTAAAGCTAATATGTCGGTTCTTTGAACCGCATCTCGCAGTGGCTGGTACGGTTGGTAGCAGCGAATAAAAGGGAGCAGGCAGGTAAGGTTGTCGGTTGGAGACACGCGGGAGAGAGCGACGGGAATAAAGGGATAAAGAGTGGAAGGCGAATGGAGGTAACAGAGGGCAAAGCAGCAGGAAAGACTACCGGAGAACGCCTGGGAATAGTAAATTTCCGTTGCGCCGTGGCATCGTTATTAGCATACAAGTATTTAGAATGAATTATGGGCCAGGTCGCTTATTCCCGAGGGTGGATATATTCGGTACAGACACTCCAGGCGTTCTTCTACGTCAGGTGTATCCCTCAGGAGGTAACATTATGTCGTCTTGCATATTTTATCCTTTCACTCTCTCGGTCTCTCTGACACGTTTCGTCGCGAAAGGGAGCAGAGGGAGAAAGGGTGAAAGAGACAGAGGGGGAGCAGAAGAGGATAGGAGAAGGAGCGAGTGTGCAAACATGCGTGGGCATTTAAAACCGCGACATTATACGTGTGAAAGGTGCAACGTGAGTGGTTGGTCGAGAAACACGACCTCTTCCTTTTTCTCGTCCTTCTTTCTTCTCATCCGCTACGTTCTACCTGCGTTCTCTAAGCTGTTCGAAATTTATAATCAGTTTATTTAAAACTATGGATCAATTCCGTGATTCACGTAGACGGCGTGCATTAAAGCGTAACAATGTCCGTTACAATCTGACCTGACAAATGGCCCAGGTCGCGAAATCGCCGTTAATCGTTGCGCTCGCATTCTGATTAAACTACTTTTGCGCTCGTCTTTCCCTCTGTCCCGTTTAGGGTCGTGGCCGGCGTTCCTACTTTATTAAGCGTGAGCACATTCCGGGGCCCGATGTGTCATCCAGATACTGAGGGGCGATGTCCACGGATCGAGAGGTCGTTCGCAAGCGATTCTAATAAGCAGCGATCATTCGATTTAGCTGAAAAACGCGCCGATAGATATTTTTTTGTCGATTTAAGGAACAAATTGCATATTTATGATATATAAACAATTAATTGTTTGTCGAACAAAAAAGTGTCAATGTTTTGTAGTCAGCCTATGAATAACATTCCTCGCCTTTATCTTATTTATTTACTTTATTTATAAATTGTGGAAAATATATCAAGTTGTAAAAAAATAACAGTTACTCGTTCTCTTTTCTTTTCCACGGCATTGTTCCTCCTCCTTACATTTTTTTCTTCCCTAAGATGTCTTTTTTGTTACGGCACATTTTTTTCATTTTATTTTTCTTTTTCCTTTTCTGTTTTTTCTGTGAAACTGGCCATACGATAGCGATATACGATCGCATGCGGCAATTAGAAAGCCATTATCTCACGGCCGTGCGCGTTCAGCCATTGTGCAACAACTACGCGTAGGGGGTGAAGAAGAGTGGTAGATTCCCACGGAGTTTCTACACCTTCTGTGTCCGGGGGTAGATAGATGTCCGGCAATCAGGTGCAGGGACCCCCAACCGCCTTTGAATCCGTCGGCCGGCAGCTGGCTGATACGTTCTCGTTGACGCGGAGCCATCATCGTGCCTACGGCCCTCCCGCTGTTTCGTTTTCGTGTTTGGACATCGACGGGGAAACGAGCTTGAGAGGAGCCACGTCCGAAACACCGGGAATGCTCTTTAGAACGAAGGGGCAAGGATTTTTTCGAAATTAACCGTGAACGACGTACGCCACGTTCCAGAGAAAAAACGGCGGACGTAAAAAACGAATGTAACGGTTATGATCGTAAAATTGAAGGACTTTCATTTAATCTCAAACACTTTTCACCTTTTAGTTTATTTAGCTATACGTGGGAGGTATTATAAAAAAAAAATTTATCCGTTGACTCTGTTTTAGTCACTGAAATATATTCTCTTTAAAAGATATTTTTTATTTTGTTATATATTTATAATAAATTTTGGTATTCTTGTACTGAGAGTAGCGCGGGGTTAATAGTAATTTATATTAGTTTCTCCACGCAGATGGATTCTCCGCAACGTGTGATTGGCGTATATCATAAAATTTACACACCATTATTACTCGTAACATAATGAACGACGCAAATGCATGACAGTGTAGGAAGTTTCAATTATATAGATAGCCATGGAACGATGGAGATTTACGATGATGATGACGGTGTGTCATCGCGATTCTGCACGACACTCGCAGCAGCAGGCGATTCTGAAAATGATAGCGCTGGAAATTCATAGTGGCGGCTACATACGCGCGGTTCACCCAGCCGCGTTAAATTCGGCCGTAATAATGATTCGACGATCGTGCACGTTCATTTCCGAGGAGTTAATATTCAAAATGAACATTAACAGAGGACGCACGCTACCGTTAATCTCCAATGGCATGTGGGACCGTTCACGGTGCGCCGGAGGTCGCTTTACTGCATTCGCGTTAATTATGCAAATGAATAATTAGCATTTCGATTATTTCGGCAACGTCACTGTCTACGTTGCGGAAAATTTATCGCGCCGATATTAATTTATCCTTCTACTCTCGCATGCTCGAGCCGACGAAATTTATCATCTCCATGTATTGATAACGCGAGACCAACAATAAGTATCGATCGTCGAACTGTCGTCCGTGAGATTAATAATAACTAGACGATAATTTATGAGCATCATCTTTCGACATCATCTTCGACCAGTTCATCAATTCCGTTGCGAAATCATTGAGAGAATCGTTGTAAAATTCACAAGACTCTTGTCTCGTAATGAAGGTATTATGAGTTAAAGTCAAATGTCGCGAGACTGTCAAGCATCGAGCTGTCGTGGGCCGTCGACTGATCACGTACGAAGGAATGGCAAGAAGGAAATTGAAAGATTTTTGGGTTTTCAATCGGAGAACTTTGTGATCCCCGACGGAACGGAGGAACACGAATCTACGAATATTAATCGTTCGAATTTACCGTCGAAAGGTTCTCGCACGAATCGAAGAGTGATCAATGCGAACCGATTCGAACTGACTGCAGAAATAAACTGTTAGCCTCCATGAATATATTCATATCCCCTTATCAATATTCAGAACCTACTTTCTTGACTACGCTTAAATCCACTAAAATCGAGCGACGCCGAACACGCTCGGTATTCGACAGAATGAGGCACGATCTTCGATTTCTCATAACGACAGTTTATGCCTTCCCGATTTGTGTTCCCATTCCCGAAGGCGTTGAAATGTATGAACGCAATCGTTATGATGATTTTCTCTCTTTTCTCACGTTTACTCTCTGTAAGAGGACATGCGCTCTTGACATTATGTATTTTCACGGAAAAAAAATGACCCACTCGGAATTCGTCCAAACGCATTAACGATCCTAGTAATTGGCAGTAAACACACGTACAATTAATTTACTCGAACTTGGCACTGTTTCGGATAGGAATCGAAATCGGACAGAAATGGAGGATCGGAGGCTTCCTTGGACCATTTCCAATTCCGTTCGACTTCCTTCGCTCTCTTTCATCCGTCATTGCCTGTTGCGTTATTTTGCTACCTCGAAAGTACGTGGATCCGGAAATACGTGAGTCGTATTTTAAAGGTTGTGAAGATTAAAGAACTCTTGGCGAACCAGTCCACGTCTCGATCCGGAGGATTTAAGCCAGCACCAACAAATAGATTGCCGCGCTAATGGATGGGAGTTCCGATTTGATATTACCTTTCCCTATCCCGTCGCTCCAAGCAGGAAATTAGCAAGTCTTAGGAGCTCTCCTGTTAATCGTCAGGGTGATTTCTGCGGCATCGCTTTCGGACAATTTGCCGCGACGAAATTTCATTTGTCCCCTTCCTTCCGCATGCCAGCAGTCGTCGACGAACCCTTCGAGGGTCTCTTCTCGCTAATCCACCTTATTCACTCTTTATCTCCTTCCATTCGACTTTTCCTAACACTCGCTTTTCGTCGGAAATGGAGCTTACAGAATTAATCGGTGTTATCCTGAGTCCTTGCCCGAAATCCATGGAACGCTTCACGATTTCATCACGATCATCTCCAGAATAAAGGACGAGGCGGCAATGAATGACAACGAGTGAAAAGGAAAATCAGATTTCGGCCGATGCGTCTTGGAGTCGGATTAGGAAAGAATGAACTCGTATAATATTCCGATCACTACGAAACATCTTAAACCAGTGTAGTTTTTTTATTCCATATCAAGATAACTTGGAGCACAGGGAGAAATACTTTTTTGTTATAAAAGAATTGTTAGAAATATTATTTTAGATAAATCTTGATCGTTCATTTTGTGTGATTGTGTGACAATTCTATTACAAATAATTTTACTGCGGTATATTTACTAGTAGTTTTAAAGTATCTAAGTTTGTGAAACTGTTGAAATGAATGCACAATTAATGCATACATTCCAAACGGTACAACGGAAACCCACTGTTCTCCCGCATCAATGATTTACACTCAGCAATTTCTCAGTAATTACATAGATATCGTGACAGAATTACACGCTGTTTTGAATCGTCTCGATAGCGCCCGCACGGTGTTCCCTTCGACAATTTTTGCGTTGCAGCTGCGTTCTCCGTTTTACTCCGACGAGCGCGCGTGTAATTAAAAGGGTTTTATGATACTGAGAGGGATATTATGAGAGGAAAAAAAAATTATGAGCTCACCTTATTACTCCGTATATCGCGTATCCGCTCGGATGCCCTACTATCAGCGATGATACGCGCACACACCAAAGAGCACCAAAGAAATCATCGATCACAATTGGTCTCTGATAAGATCCTCTTTCTCTCTTCGTCTGTTCCTTCACTTGATATAAATTTATAAAAAAATTTCACTCGTACACTTTGACAGAGCGCTATTTACAAGCCCCTAAGATTTTACACAAAATCTATTACGTACTACATGAGTGTAATAACACGAAAGTATTCATTTAGAAAAATGCAAAACAACCGGTGGCGCGTCTCGATTGCGGCAACGTGTATCACTGGCTATCGCGGTGGCCCGCGTTTTCTCTCACACCGGGTCTCCACGAGGTCTCCATTGAGGAAACAACGTGCGACGCGACCGTCCCTTCATGCGAGGCGCACGACCAACCGGAGAGGAACGACGTACCAACTAACACCGTACCGTCACGGCGCCACGGCACTAACTGACAGGCTGACGAGAAACTCCAGTTGGTCGTCGGCGGGATTGCCGAGTAGAGGGGAAGTAAACCCGCGCGGCTCTAGAGGAAGAGAGAGATAGAGAGACCCTCTCTCATACGGTCTCGCGTCCTCGTCCGATTGCGTGCAGTCTCTTCTTCCCGCTTATGCTTTCGCCCTCCGTCACCATCTAGTGGTAGATCGACGTACCCTGGCGAGCGCGCGCCGGTTCACCACCCCTGTGGTGGACAAAGGGGTGGGAGCGAAACGAGCACGTGAGACTGGTAAAGAGCGAGGGGCGACGAACGGAGCGTAGGAAAGGTAGGGGGAGAGGGAGGGAGGTCAGCCAAGGCCGGTATATGGGGGCGAGGTTGCAAAATATGTTGTAGAAATGGGGTGGCGAATGAATGCGGTCGTCCCGTAGACTAGCGATTTTATTGATCTTTTTTTCTCCCTTCGGATACGCGCGCGGCTCGCTTAATTAAGCGACCGAACTATAAGGTCGTATACACCTCTGGCGAAGTATTTCGATGGAGTGGAGGGGCGCTGGGGGTTATTGAGATAACTTTTCGGAACAATTTTTAATGTATTTTCACAGAATGATTGATATATATATATATATGTATATATTATATACAGAGTTTGCTTTCGATCGATCAAGCTTCTGGTAGTATATTTGGCTCAGAATTGATAAAAATGTATTCGACGCGCAGATACAGTTTCTGTGCATCCGTTCTGAGAGCTACTGCAATAAATTTTTCACGAATCAAGCAAATGCGAGCGATTAATTTTATTTAGTTCATCCATTGTACGATAACGTGGAAAATATTGATCGTTAGTGTAAACATTAATCATTGCAGTATTAAATCGATATAAATTGACGCAAATGATTAGCGGGGGTATGAGATAATGAAAACGGATATATCGTTATTCGTTTTCTGATTGACGGAACGTTATCGGTCGATCGTAAATTTTCAGACGTCATCATTCGTAATAATTTATTAGCGTACCGGACGTGAAAACCCATAAAGATCTCGCGAAATTGTGAGATATTGTGTCTTATCACTTTCCGGTTCCGACTCGTTCGATCCCGAGAGCAAGCCGGTGGGATTCGAATTAGTGTTTATGGCACCCATGGGCGACAAAATCCCTTTTCGCGGAACGATTGCAACAGTCTGACAAGCATTAGATGCCGGTGTCATCATTTTTTCTAATATCAGTTCGATAAATATCTATATATCTAATAAATATCTATTTATTTTCTGTAAAAATTAACATTTTACACAAACATACAGTATTATATATTAAGTACTGCATAAAGTATTATGTTTATATAAAATTATATTATATATTCTATACTATATAATGAGTTTTTATACACTTGTCATCGTGCAACGATTAATTAACCGCCAAATAGGACGTTAATTATGTATATGCAGTTGATCTCCTCGCTCGGGAAATTTAAATGCATCAGCATGCATTTCGGCTTGTCCGATATTTTCTAGCCTAATCGGGAAATCGGTCACGCCGTAAATCTTTAAATAAACACGATTAATCGCTCTCGACAAGTTTGCTTCCCAAACTTCACAGCGGCGAGGCGTAGCGGGCTTAAAATGGATTTACTCGATCCGAATGCATTAACGACGGGATAGAGAAGTAGTTGCTGTGCTCTCAAAGAGTCCGTCGGTTGGGAGCGAGTGCTAATTAACGATTCGATCACGAAGCTTCCGGCGCCGGTAGACAACGTCGTCACCTCCACCGGATTCTCTTTGATCCTCTTCTATCTCCGTTTCATTCTCTTATTCGCGTCTCCCTTTTCCGCCAACCTTTCCACCTACACATCGTCCTACATATCGCATACAGACGGCGCATACATATGCCTGGATGTACCAAAGCCGGCGTATGTTCGCAGCAACGTGTCAAAAAGCACGTTAATTGCAAAAAGCACGCCCTCTCTTGTTCTTTGAAAGCTTAAGATTTATGCATTGAAACTTCTAACTGCCATAATGCAGAACTTAACTTTTCACCTGCACTTATGCATATAATCTGTCTTGGAAAGATTTTTCTCCCCAAGATTAAAAAATGCGATGGGAAAATCGATAAATACAAAGTGCGTAGAGGATAAAAAAATGAAAAAGTAAAGGATTACGCGATTTGATCATCCTGATGTGTTCATCTTTATCCCCCGTAAGGTCGCGTCTCGAATCTCATCGTCTGTCTACTCGCCCTTCCAAGGACCAATCCTCGAGCCCGCGTATACGCAAAAGGGGAGGACATGCGCCCGCAGACAAGAGATCTAATATACCCGTCGGTTACATTAGCCGGATTTAATTTAAGCTCCGACCCCACGACGTAAGCATGCCGCTTATGCTCTCTACCTACCTACCGCGAGTGAGAAACACACGTTGGCGCGGGGAGGAAGGGGGCTCTTCGAGATGGCAGAGATCGTCGGAAGGTAAAAGAGAGACGGATGGAAGATAGAGGTATGCGATGGTAGCGCGAGAGACGCCGCCGTTTTATTGTAATTGCGCTGTCGCACTAGCAAAATGCCGCCGCTCTCTCTACGGCTAACTGAGTACTCGCTAATGTCCGACCATTCCAGAAGAGGGACAGCTTCATTAACAGCAAAAAAAAAACATCCACCCTCTTCTTCACCATCGTATATCATTTTTTTTTCCATTCCGCGATTAACCTGGCCAGTATATCAGAGGCAGCTCTTCTTTTCTGGTTTATTTCGATCAAGATCTGAAACTTAACGATCGGCGTTTCAGCTCGGGACTATAACACATTATCGAGACAGGACCACGAAAACACACGCGATACGATTGCTTCCTTGAGACGGAGATAGCAACGCGTCCCGCTACGTATTGTCGGAAGAATGTCGAGATATTTCCTCTCTCGCGGGTTGCTGTTTGCCCGCCATTCGGTCCCGTTTCTCTTTTTCTTACGTCGACAAATACGATACTCTGAGACGCGGGCTAAGCTCATATTTATTTATGAAAGAGGAAGTGGCGCACGGTTTGTCTGCTTGGCGTAGATATATATACATACATTCCCGCGTAGCGCGTAAGCGCGTAGGGTGCAAGAGGGGCACACGCGAAGCGTTCGCGAAAAGTTGCGCGCCGTAGGTACCCGGGAAACTTTCGACGCGCTCAAGCGAAATCGCACGTTTCATTGTTACTTTTGTACGTTTTTGAGCGACGATATGGTAGATGCTCAGCCGCCGTCGCCGCCGAATGTATGGCGCAAATAAAACTGCCACGTCGGGCGAAGTTACCGTAACCGTTTTTAGTACTTTATGACATCCGTAAATCTCCGCGGGTGCAGGAAGAGGCTCGAATCATTCCGAGGACACCGGCTATCTTCACTGAAAATTGACGAGGTCACTGTGTCGAGGAAACGAAGTTCCCGCGCCCCATGAATAATCGCGCCGGACATCGGGGTCACGTGTGAACTTCCTTAGATACGTCACGTGCGCGTAAGAAAAATTTATCGCGAAACTTTCCGCCGTCGTTATCGCATACGCGACGTTCTCTGATCATGTAATATTCGCCTTGAATTTTTATGCGATTTCTATGTTTTCTGTCAAAACAGACCTTTCTGTCGCGATTAAAATTCTTAAATATGTTGAAAATTATTTCTGCGTCTGTATGTGCCAATCATGTTAATCATAAAAAGAGAACTTTCTCTAACGAAATATTTTTGCTGCTTATAATGTAATACTTTGTAATATTCTATATCAAGAGAATAATATTTTAAAATTTTAATTTGATTTATTTGAAAATCTGATGTTTGTAAAACTATTACAATTAAATGAAAATCTGTAGAAATTAAGAAAGAAATTATTTTCAATATGTAAATTATATTTCAAAGTAAATGGAAAGATAATTCAACGATATACTCAACACACATTTATTATAATTTCAAGTTTTAGTTCAATCTCCAGTCGCAAAACTATAAAGTTAAAAAAAAGATGAATAGAAAAAAAACGCACATTCTTCGGTTAGTGGTTAGAAAGTTAACACGTATAATATATTTCGAAAATTTACGACACTTATAAACTCTTACTGTCGTACGAATGAATTCGGTTTTCTGCAAAAATATCATTTATCTTCAGAAAAAAAAACCTGCGGAAGGTTCTCGTTAAAAGCTGAAAAAGTTATTTCAAAAGTTACATCGATTACAAAAGTTTTTTGTATTCTTTAACAATCGTTTTGGTAACATTCTTTCTAAAATCCTTTCTTGAATTCACAAGAATTCCATCTCCGTTGATACTACGTCTTACTAGGTTTTTCCAGGAAAAACATAGTAAAAGTCGGTCAGTAGGACGAGCTGACGTCTTCTCTTGTTATCTCCTATAACGTGTTGGGTTACAATAGTATACCTTCTGAATCTATTGTTTTATGAGAACGTAAATCTTTTCGCTACTGAGGAAAGCGAAAAAAGGGATCTTCACCACCAACTGATTTCAAGACATTTAAGAGAACCCCATCTTTTACGACAGTTTTTCTTTAAAAGAAAAAATCGCAGTATATGACCACGCATAAAAACCGAAGTCAATAAGGATATCGAACTGTTTTATTCTTTTGTCACAAATAGATACAAAATAATCTTTCGGCTTTAACTTCAATCCTGCCATCAATTTCTATGAAATGATATTTACATATTCTGTATTTGGAATTTTGGTATTTTTCCTTTCTCTTTCTCTTTCTTCCTCTATATATTCCTCTATAATATTTCAAATGAACACCCTTTATATTATTAAATATCATGATTGCAAAAAATATGTACTCTCTATAATAAATTATATTTATAAAACTCTTGCTAAAAAATAATAAACTCGAAATTTTTTTATTTAAAATTAGAAAAACATCAGTTCATTTTATAAGACATTCTATATCATGTATATATATTCTCAGCGATTCATCGCAATGTAATTGAAATGTGAAGAGGTCAGGACAGATAATATGTATTGCAATCATGTATTACATCAAAATAATGCGC